AGATAAATTACTGATCATAAGTCTTTTTTTTATAAATCTAAAATAATTTAATGATAAGATATCAATTTACCCTTTTTTTTATTTTATTTCATATAGTTTAGAGATAAAATATCAATTCACTCTTTTGTAAATGTCTGCCGCTTTCCCTGGTTTTTCTGTTTGGGTTACTGAAATACTTGATGGTTCATTTTGAGAGTGATTTGATTTCAGAAAATAACAATATCTCTTTCCTTCATCAGGATTCTGATGATAAGGATCTAGTTCCAAATGAAGCTTTAGCATAAAGTGGTAAGTGTTTTTGTACTTGAGAGGGAAACCAATCAAAAACCAGATGATTCTTTCGGGAATCTTCAAGAAGAGGAGCTTCCATTGCTGGTTCAAGATTCTGTGGTTCTTTTGCTTCTGTACAAAGAGTATTATCCTCTTCATCAAACACATGCCTCTTTATACGGACGCAAAAGAACCATAGAATCTTGAACCAGCAATGAAAGCTCTTCCTCTTCTTGAAGGTTCCCGAAAGAATCATTTGGTTTTTTTATTGGTCTCCCTCTCAAGTACAGAAACCTTACCACTTTCTGCTAAAGCTTCATTTGGAACTAGATCCTTATCATCAGAATCTTAAAGAAGGAAAGACATTGTTATTTTGTGAAATCAAGTCACTCTCAATATGCACCATCAAGTATTTCCGTAACCCATATAGAAAAATAAAATTCAGATGAAGTAGTGAAAGCGGCCAAGAAGATAAGGCTGGAGAAGAAAACATATGGAAAAAAGGGATAAATTGATATTTTATCCCTAAGTTATTTTGGATTTACAAAAAAAAAACCATGATTAATAATTTATCTAGAGTTCAAGGCTTAAAATAAAAATTAAATCTTTTTATTAATGTGTCATATCATCAAACTCACAATTAGGGGAGTGTAAATCCGGGTACCCAAAGTGTCGGGTACCCGAATCTTCGGGTAATTGATTTCTCGGCCGTGTCCCGACCTAGATGTTGTGGGTACCTGAATTTTGTGGGCACTCATATTTCGGGTACCTAGATACCCGTTTTTTCTTCAAATTATTAATTAAAAAACACACAAATTTAAATGTTTGAAACTTTGAATTACATAGTCCAACATCCGAACATAAAATTTAAAAGTTCAAGATACAAAATCTAATAATCCATACTATAAATAAAACATAAAAGTTCATAGCTACATATATGAGTAGATATCTTGATACTTGAATCATGATCATGGTTACACTTCTTCATTTGTCATTCTTCTTTCCTACAAGCAATTCTTTTATTAGATTTAAATAAACCATAAGTTTACAACAATCAATATCTTTTGAAAATGCACGAAAACATAACTTAACTTTCATTATAACAAATATCAAGTATAACTTTCATCAATGAAAATATAACTAAAAATTTAATAGCTTACCAAAGTTTGGGACTTATGGCCTATGGGAATTGTTCTTCATACGTGACATTCGGAACTTCACTTGTTTCATCAATGATAATTGTTGGTTTCTCCGAAGTTAAATCTTGTATTTTTATATTAAGTATTTAAAGTATGCAATCGTTACAATGTATTACATATGTTTTAAAATACAAACATTTAAATATCTAAACATGAAATTGAAAACTAACCTTCTTCCATAATCTCCAAAGCTAGCAAGCTCTCCTCTACCATAATAGTATTATGAGAAGCACGAATCTAATCTTGAGTATAAGAGCTTCCACTAATCTAGGAGTCAAAGAAGTACATAAGGAATCAAGCACACATCCTCTCGTACTAAAAGTGAACTCTGAAGCAACGGTAGAAACCATAATTACAAGTACATCACGTGTCATTCTCATAAGAACAGGATAGTTCATTGTTTCCATAGACCACCAAGACAAGATATCTAATTCATCCATCTCACGAACACATTTATCCCCCATATACTTGTCTAGCTCAGTTGTTTCAGAAGTATCAAATAATTCTACTTCATTCACAAAATCCTTTTCTCAAATTTGTTCCTTTCAACTTTTGTATTCTTTCACCACTATGGGCACTAGACTCCATAGAGTAATAATTCATTTGTGGCACCGCCGATTGCGAAGAAGCATAAAAATCAAAAAACGATGTCAAAGTGTCTTTAATTCGTTGACACAACTCAAAAGAGCTGCTAGGATCAAGAACTAAAGCAATGAACATCAACATATTCACATTATTAACATTTGCCCAATACTTATCAAATTTCATTTTCATTTGGTGTGCCATGCTCTTAAGCCCAACATTTGACTCATCGAGATAGTGATTAATCGTATACCCAATGTCAAATATTTCTTCCACAAAATTATTACCAGTCACATATCTTGATCCAGAGAAGCTCAATGAAGCCTCATAAAAGATCTCAAGAAAAGGCAAGAAAGCAGTAACTTTGTCCCAATACTCATTATTAGGAGGACCACCAACCTTTGTAAGCTCTTTGGTGTAAGGAACGCACTTCGTTTTCATATTTTTTTAATGCCTTTCTAAACACTAAAGTACTCCTGAGCATGCAATAGGTGGAATTCCACCTTGTTTCAATGTCCAAACAAACAAGAGATTTGTTGTTTATATTTTATTCTTTAACACAATATCGAAACTTTTGTAGCCTTGTAGGGGAAGACCTCACATATTTCACAGCAACACAAACTTTCATAATAGAATCATTAATATCCTTCAACCCATCTTTAACAATCAAATTCAGAATATGCGCATCACATCTCATATGCAAAAATTGAGCATCCAACACGCTTTCATCCCACAAGTTAACAATTTACTTCAAATACTTGATCGCTAGATCATTTGAACTGGCATTATCAACGGTTACCATCAAGATTCTCTTAAGACCCCAATCTAGTAGACATTTTTCAACGTCTCTACCAATAAGTTCCCTAGAATGACCAGCAATTGGACAAAAGTTGATGATCATCTTGTGCAATTTCCAAGTATCATCTATGAAATGAGCAGTAAGACACATATACGACAAATCCTGACCATATGTCCATGTATTTGTGGTAATACATAGCCTAGAGGACAAATTCTTGAAAAAGTTCTTCAGCGTCTTCCTTTTTTCAATAAACAAAACATAACAATCTCTTGTAATAGTAGTGTGTGAAGGAGGAATAAAATCAGGAATGGCTACCTTGCAGAACATACGAAATCATTCATGTCCAACAAAGCTAAATGGTAACTCATCAACAATCACCATTTTAGCGAGTGCTTCTCTAATATTCTCTTGATCAAAACGCCATAATTTAGGAATACTAACTGTCTCTATGGTCCCATCAGCATTGCATTTTGTCTTGGACTCGAAATCTAAGATTGTTTGTGTTTTTCCAAGTTAAAGGGGGCTTTCTTGCACCGGACAGTGTGACGCTTCATTGCATTAGTTCCATTGGCAGCTGCACAACTTATTTTTCGAGAACAATAAGCATTTGGCATGTTCTTTATCACCATCAAATGCTTTAAAATGATCCCAAGCAAAAGAAGTTTTTTTTCTTTTTGCCTCCTTTAGCTTCAACAGTTTCAGCAATCTTTTTCCCCTTCCTTTTATTTTTCGTATTAACTGGAGTCTCAACCACATTAATCTTTTCGGATTCCTTAAACGACTTAGCTGATGAAGATAACATCTCTATATCATCAATATTTTCTCCTGTCATCGACATTACCTAGAAAAAAAACTCTTTGATTAATAATAAATTGACCAAAGGATTTACCACATTACCAAATTATCATACCCAAATTAGTCTCAAGTAATGAATTACATTATGTTTATAAGTTATAAACAACACACAATATACGTGTAATGCTAATAAAACAAAACAATACACAATAATAACAATAATGCATATAAATTTTACATTCTATTTATGTTCTGTAATGCATTACTAGAATTATAACAATAATGCGTTATACATGTAATTCATTTTAAATCAAAATAATCAGTACATTCTTCCTAATTTATTATTTTCATACGTTTCTGTTCCATAATTTATGTGTGTTGATTTAAAGGAAGAAATAATTCTTTTAATATTTAATTCATATGTTTAGTAATTGCAATTATAGAATTAATCCATTCTTTTGATATTTGGTTTGCAAATCGTGTGAAGTAATTTCAATAATTCTTTTTTAGTTACTAGTTTGTTTTGTGCCACATGTTATCACCATATTCATATGATCCGATATTTAATAAAAGTGGTATGCTAATAAATTTAACCTTTAATTTTCACTTTCATTTTAATTTAGCCATAATTTTTTTTGTTGGGGGGAACCCTCAATATTTTAATACTCTCAAAAGTTAAAAGAGAAACTAAATTGTTATAATATCAAAATGTTCAAGATCAACCTTTTAGAATTGCAAATTAAAATAAAGTGTAAAATTTATGGATAAATTTATTATTATATCACTTTTATTAACTATTAGGTCAATTTCTTGCAATTTTTAACGGAAAATGATTAATTTTTTTAGTTAAATGATCATTATAGAACTTTTGATAGTTAGATGATTCAAAAATATTTTCCCATTTTAAAGGGACTATTTAAGTAGTTTACCCAAAATTTCAAAACTTGATGTTTGGTCTTTGCTTGGAATTTCTAGAAGACGGAAACGTGTACAGAGATGCAAAGAAGATTAATACATTGGGATTTTTAGTCACTCAATCATTAAATAGATAACGGTGTTAAAATAACGTCATTTTAAAAATAAAATTTTCACTAAAATAACATCATTTTATATTTATATAACAACTTATTTATAGCACCGTTAGTGAGAAAACTATTGAGAGATAAAAAAATTATTGCATTAAATTTATTGAGAGAATTAAAAAGATTTAAAGTATAGTGAGTGAAATAGGAGAGAGAGTAAAATTTAGTTACCAAATCTGTAGTTTACCCTTTATTAATAATGGAAAAGTCATTTAATTACTCCGTATTTATTAATAAGGAGGGGTTATAACTGTAATTTCATTTAAAACGGAGGAGATTTAAAACCTTCGAGGATTTGGTTCGGACACAGTCAAACGAGATTATCCAGTTTTACCATCCGAAAAAGGGTACGGTTTTTCTCTCTCTCATGATTTACCCTTTTTAATTGGCTGATCCAACGATTCCTGTCCCGTGATCTTCTTAACTGCTTAATTTCCCCGTTGGGTTCATCGGAAACCCTAAGAAATGGGCAAAAAAAAGGGTCTTTTTCTTGGGGTTCTAATGCTTTTTCTTTCTAAATTCTGGGAACCCTTATATTTCTTCTTCATTTCTCCCGTTGATTCAAAATTCGTGAGTTTGACGGGAGATCTGATGTGGGTATTACGTGGAATTTGAAACCTTTATTTTATGTTTTGATCTTTGATGTATTGAAATTGATTTCCAATGGAAAAAATGTTGGCAGCAACCTTACATTTAGATTCTGTTGTTTGATGTGAATAGAAGCTTTAGCATTTAACTTTTAGCTGGGAATTCTTTCCATGATCAATTTATGAAAATTCTTTCCATGACTTGGCTTTCGAAATTGATCTTTGTTTGAGTTCTGGTAATTATGTTTTCCATGCTCGTTCCTTGATGGAAAATTGTGTGTTGCTTGACATGTTTATCTGATAATACCTCGCTCTTAGCTACGATAGACTGTATGATCGATCCAAGGAAGCGCGGATGTCTTTGATCTGCTCATATGAAATCATAATTAGATTGTATATTTGGAGAATATGATTATGATGATGTGATAAGAACTTATATACATTGATAAAAGGGACTTCCGGTCCGCCTTTTAGCCTGAAGAATGCAAGTAAGCATGTATCGTCGTTTTCATATGCTGTTCTAACTCCTAATTTAGAGCTTCCGATGTCACGTTGGGCTATATATGAAATGTGTCATTTGGGGATGTAAATATGTAATTGAATGACCAAGGTGATGCTTCAAATCTCGGGGGTCTATTTTAATGGTGGATGTTCATCTCTGCTGTATACGCTATCCTGTGTTGTTATACTTGAGGATTCTTTATTCTTTAACAAAATCGGGTTTTTAAGTTTGCGTTTTCAAATGCAGGAGAAAAATTGACATTATATGGACGGTAAAGTACCGCCTCAAAAGGATACTCAGGAGCTAGCTCGCGAGTTTCTTATCGCAATATCTTATTCCGTACCCGATTCTGATCCTAATCCAGATCGCTCATCGAAGATCGTAGACAGTTCGAATGGGGCTGTGGCTGCAAATGTCGATGAAGTCGAAAAATATAGGTCTGAACTGATTTCTATATCCAATGCACAGTCACCTGACGCTCAAGTGCCTCCAGTTGTGCTTGAGAACCACGTAGGTTAGTGGAAACATATTTGTAATGGGAAACTTTATTACAATACAGTGGCTGTTGAAGTTTACCAGAAGTTCCCGTTGTAGTGTTGTCTGATTTTACAGATAATGTTGTTTTGCTTTCTATGTGCTTCTCTCCATACGAATGTAAGTAAGGAAATGTACTTTTGCAGACATTATGTTGTGTTAATAACTCGGAATTCTGGGTATGATGTTCATCTCGGCCACCGGATGTTTGCATCGATATCCTCTGATTTCGTTTGTTTTGTTATTGGTAACCAAATTTCTTTGTCCTGATCTATGTTTATCCTCAGTGTTAACTTCTCTCTTTGGGTTTCCTGCAATCCAATTGTTGAAAAACATGTGAACAGGATCGTGTCGCCGGGCGGTTGAATGTTCTGCCCGTTGGCTCCTCACCATCAGCCAAGAATTTCGCTATAGGAGTCCTTTATGGTCATATCCGTAAAAGAAAAAATTGAAGGTCAAGTAATATTTTTTAAAGTGAGATTCTTAAAATATTTTATAATACTATAAAATTATAAAATATCAAACTTTATTATACTGTGATTATTTTTTATAAAATAAAAAATCAAATATATGAAATTAAGATAATATCACAAATCAACTCTATAATTGTGAGATTTTATTAAAGTGTAGACTCCCAAATTTTGAGGTTTTGTGACGTATTGCATTCTACATTTATTGACGGGTGAGTCTGAAAAAAAAACAAAACTTAATATTATAATTTTTATATAAAAAAAATCAAACCCCCTTCAAATTTTATATCTTTCGTCGTCGATCGGCCACTGTCGATTTGTGGCCGTCATCGTTGACACCATCAGAACATTCTTGTCATCGCAACCAAAATTCAGTTCTTCACCCACTGTGAAACTGTATCGATCGTCGTGAAAAATGCTACGAAAGTCATCGAATTTATAGGTTTTTCGTTGTTATTTCCCAACGATTTCGATGGTTATAGTGACCCTTTGTCATCGACGGTGGGGAGATGGGAAGGAGAGGGAGGACGCGGGGGGTTTGTTTTGTTTTTAATTTTATCTTTTTTAAAATAATATTTTTATTATTAATTCTTTTAGATTAAGTTTTGTTCATCACTAAAACAAGGAACATAAAATCCTATGTGTATCTAACTAGCGGCAAATTTTCCCGGAGAATGTTGTGGAAAAAAAAAATATTTTTTTCATCTATTGCACCCATGGCATTATTTTCTTAATTACCTGGTTTGAACAGTAACTTTAGATGATGCATAGAGCATAATGCATATTCAACTTTCTCAGGAAAGACACATGAATCATAATATGCCTTGAGTTCTCTCGAAATAGAGACATAGACGAGATAAAAGTATGGGTGAATAGAAAAGACGCACCATGATTTATGTGTATTCTTCGAAGAAATTGAAGATATGTTTTAGGGTTTAGAGTTTGTTAAATAATCGGGTAAAGAAAACGGAAATAACACAAGAATTTTAACGAGGTTTAACAATGTGCTTACGTCCTCGATGTCTTAGCCAACGCTAGAATTTTTATTCAATGTCTCATAGATTTTGGTTATATCTCATTTTATAATAAATAAATCCTGATATATTTATGAGTCATACCTAACAGAGTTTAGTTAGCGTCTTTTAAAATTATTGTTCAAAACATCTTATTTGAGAAAATAATTATATAAATACAATATATGAAAAGATTATTTGTTCCACACTAAGTCGATAAATTTAATGGTTGAATTATTAAAATATTAATTAAAGAAATATTATTTAATTCACCATTGCTTAGTGAAAGAAAGTTGTTCAACCAAGAACGAGGACTACCTTAAGAAATCACAAATTCTAAAATTCTAGAAAATGAAGAAAATATTTTAAAACCTAAAATAAAACCTCGGCCTATGCATCACCTGAGTTTCCTTGCCATGCTTCAGTAGGTAAATGGACATTAGGAGGCATATTGAGTGGCAAATTGAAGAAAGGCAGTCCACCCGGTCCGGCGCCGGCATCGGGAAACATGTTATTTCCGCCGCCATCGCCGTCGCCGACTTGAATATCATCCTCTTCTAAGGGAAGTTTCTCGTAAGCCACATTCGCAAACGACGATGCTATGAGAATAACAGGTCCAGCCGCCGTCAGTTCACCAACCACACTTCCACCAACAACCTGCCCTTGCCCGGCAGCCAAAACGATCGTCAAACTGGTGGCTCCTGGAGGAGCAGGTGGCGGTAAAAACGAACCCGAAAGCGACAATATCTCGAATCTTCCATGAAGAGTTAAAACAGCTCCAGCCGCAGCCGGTTGTCTAATGCTGACATTCGTCACCGTACCGCTCCCACTCAATACACATATCCCTCTTTGCCTCCTCCGAGCGTAGCTCGCGACGGAGTCGAAAACATCGCAGCCGTTCGAAACTTCGAGAATGTGAGCTCGTAGCGTGTTGACACTCTCCCCAGCGACGAAAACCGGTGGCTTCGGTTTGTTCTTCGAACCTTGTGGACGACCCCTCGGCCTACGTGCTAGAACAAGGTCACCCGAGTGAGTACCGCCGTTGACGAAGTCCTGAACTTGGCCTGAACTGCCGTCGCGGTTGTTTGAAAAGTTGTGATCTTCGGGTTGGGGGCGCAGGTGAAGGTCGGGCCTATGAAGGTGTTGAACGTAACAAGAAGCATTGGCTAAATCGAGACCGGCCATGCGAGCATCAAAGGTAAACAATAGTGGGAAAAATGGATTAAAAATAGATTAAAAATGGTGTTTGAATAGATAATAATAATGAAAGAAAGGCTTTATTTTTTAAAATGAAAAACACCGAAGAAATTATAAATAAAGAAGAAGAAGAAGAAGCAGAAACAGAAGAAGAAGAGATAGACTGCTCTACAGGGAAATATGAAAGAAACAGAGGACGAAGAGGGGACGAAGTCTTGAAAAATTGCAATCACTACTCAACCCAAAGGTTTAAATAATATATATACTAATTGAATGATAATGTTTTGCGTAAATAACGTGTTTAATTTAAACTTTCAACTTTTTTAAAATCAGTTTAATTTTTGTTTTATTTTATGAACTTTTAAAATTTAAAGTTAAATTTTAATAATATTTAAAAGTTTAGGTACTGAAATTGTATGAATCTTCCCATTGTTGTCGCCTCCTCCTCCCATCGGTCCCACTTTAGACGGCACCCCTAAGCCGTCGCTGCCCCTTGGCTTTTTGACTTGACTTTGAGCAATTTGGAATTATATGATGGTTTTATCTATTACTGTTTATTTCACGAAGTAGCCTGCATTATTGCTTGTCCCTGCTCTTCTTTATAAACCAAAGGGATAATGGCAAAATAACCCCTGTTTTGTTAGCAAGTCTTTCAATGTGGTACCTATACCCTAAAAAAATCGATTTGGGTAACTAAAATTTCATTCTGTTTAGCATTTTAGTTCCTCGATTGTGAACAATGTGCTAACCCTTATCTCAAATTTCTCGAAAGTTCATTTCCACAAGTCAAGTTCATGTTTTTGTTAGATATATTGATTTAGCGATGAGTCTAAAATATAATCTATTAATATGAGATTAAAAAGACAAATTGGTTGTAATTTAGTAGTATAATCTTTTTGAGTAAAATTGGTAAAATTTCATGTTGAAAATCGAAAATATTATATTTTCATAACAATTTATATAAATCACATAATTGTTCTGATTGTAATATAAAAAGTTATCTTCAAAGGATTTTCAATTATAATTAAAATTATTATCAATTGTATAACATTTTAGAATAGACATGTAGCATTTTTAAATTAAAAAAAGGTATAATATAACATTCTCAATTATAACCGAAATTATTACAAATTATATAAATTTTTTATACTGTACAAGATAATATTTTAAGTTAATATTCATCATAAATTACATTCAGATTAAATGGCCGCACAGCATAACTACCCATTAGTGTAGTGTTTGATTTGATCTTAGTAGTTGAGTTTTAAGATCCTTTTATCAATTTGACATTTTGAAAAATAAACTTGTAATTAAATGAGAGATTTAATTTTCTTGATTTGAGTTAATGTTTTTCATGAATTCAAATTTATTTTTTTTATAAAATAAATATAATAATAAATTTTAGGGTAAGTTACACAAATGGTCTCTTGATTATATTGTATTGTTTTATTATGTCCATCGACTATTAAATGTTACAAAATAGTCATCCCACTATAAGATGTTGTTTTGTTGAGTCGACTATCAAAAGTTACAAAATGGTCACCCAACTATTCATTATGTTCCAAACTCGTCATTCTCCATTAAAATTGATTGTTATCTAAAGTTTGACGTTAAAATAGTGACTGAGATGTGATAGTCATTTTAGATTCTGAGATCGGATTTTATCATATTACAATCAATAAGTTAACATTCAGCTTAGAATACAATCAATTTTAAACAAAAAAGGACGAACTTGGAACATAATGAATAGTCGGGTGACCATTTTATAACTTTTGATACTCGAGAGACTCGACAAAGAAATACACTATAGCCGGAAGATCATTTTATAACTCCTAAATAGTCAAAGGACTTAATAAAATAATACCCATAGTCGGGGTACCATTCATGTACTTTACCCTAAATTTTACTTGTAATATTCATTCATTTTATCCATTTTCTTTCGGTCAAATTATCCGTGCGTGTGTACAACGCCACAGCTCATATAAAGGCTGTTTCACACACCGCCGGTTGAGTAAACGTGTCTACAAGTCTCAATTTTTGACTGGAGCATAGGCCGACTAAACTCAAATACTAATGGAGGGGGTAATCTCTCTTTTATCCCTTTTTTTAATTCCATTATATTATTATTATTATTTTTAATATATATTTTTAACTATTTTTATATCTAATAATATTAATATATTTTATTAATCAATGTGAATATCATAACAATTTATTTTTAATATAAATATAAATATAAATATCTATGGAGGGGATTTAGAAAATTGTATTGAGTTGGATCCTGGGTATATTTTTCAAGAATTCTTTTTGCTTTGATAGAGAATTTTATTTCTAGTAAAATTAAGTTGAGCGTAGATATTTTCAGGCTTCCAACGTTTTGGGAATATCTTAATATTTTACGCCCATTGGCATTTATGATCGTCCAACCCTAAATTTTAAATAACAACAACGATTTATTAACTACTTATCGCGGTCGTCTTTTGGATTAGGTCTGAAATTGGATTTCGACTTGAAATATGA